AGATATCAGTCTACCCAGAGTACTAGAACACCCAAATAAAATGAGAGATTTATTTCTACTAAAGTAAAATTTACAAACAATGAAGCATACTGGGTGAGTGATGCCATAGCGTAACACTGCATTGCGAATGGCTTCTAAATCCTTCTCGTTATCAAATTTTGCAGAATGGACTCCCACAACAGTGAACTGCACAAGAATGAGAACAAATATACGATCATCAACTAATGGGGCCATAGTTCATAATTCTGCCAACTGGTACATGATTCAGCCGGGTAAACATTATCGATTTTTTAGATGCAAAAATTTCAAAAGGACATGGAAGAAGTATGTATTCTATTAAGAAGGAAAAAGAAATCGAAGCTTATACAACTTTGTTAATTATAACAAGCAATCTCATAAAATCAGAATGTAAAATAATAAATTTGATATGTCAGAAAAATAGAGAAATTTGAAAGAAAAGAGAATGAAAAAAGGATTACCGGCATATCTTTGTATTTTTTCTCCAGAAACTCTAGGTCTGGCAGGACATGCATACAGTTTATACAACAATAGGTCCAAAAATCTAGAAGAACAACTTTTCCTTTCAGATCCTGCCAAACATATTTATCAAAACTAAAGCTATACAATAATCTTGGTTTAACCATGTAGAAGTTTAAGTTTTATACAAATTACCCTGCTAAACTTAATGGGAGCAGTATTCAACCAATCAAGTTTTGCTGGAAATTCTGGCACGATAGGAGCAGTTCCTCTTGCAAAGTAAAAGATCATTCATTTAAGCAGGTTTTACATATATAATTATGCAAACTAACAACAACGATATACGAATAGCTACAAATACAAATTATATAAAAAAAGGCAGCAAAATCCTTATTTACCTAGTTTCCAGGTCCGATATATAGTTCACAAATTGTTGGATTCTTTCCATGTTTGATTCACCTATAAAATAATTAATGGAGGACAAGAAAATTGTAGTTTTCATTTTGCTGTAACTACGAATTCATAGAGACATGTTAAACAGATAACTAAAATTAGGTTTCAATGTAAACTTATCTTTTCATAATAAATGTACAATTACAAAAGATAAAGAAGGACTAGGCAGAAGAAAAAAAATGCAGCGGGGGAAAAGAATGTACCAAAAATACAGAGGTGTGACATCAGTACCTTCCTTCTGTTTAAGAGATGGCTGGTTGATCCCAAATATCACATTCCAAATAGCTTTAGGTGATGCATATTGCATTGCCTGTGTAGGAACCTCAGTAGAATGTATAAATTACAGAAACTAGAATAACAAAGAAGAAAAAATGATTAAGATGTCATCTTTTGCATGCATAAAATTCAATCCGGAGATCTCTCCCTCTCTCACTCTTTGTCTTGCCAAGAATTCTACTTTATTGAGTTATACCTTCCAGTTTGAGATGGTGAAGGCAAGACAAGACAAAGCAATCCCCAAGCTTCCATATCTCACAATATCTCGCCGAAGAACCCTGCAACCTGTCCACAAATTATTCTGCAGCCTCAAGCTAAGGGGGGCTGTTTGTTTGATTTGAAAATGCAACCGTATGATAACTATTCTCAAGTTAATAGGTGACACTGCTCAATATTACAATCGTTAAGTATACAATCTTCCAAATGTTTGTCAAGCATATACAACTTCAGGGAAAGAAGTTGATCGACCAAATAACAAGGAACCTACATTTCAGAGGACATATCACCATTGCACTATGAGAAACACTTTCAGGGGGACTTACTGTAATGTAAACCCACAAACCAAATACATAGCATATAGCACATAGAAGTGTAAAAACAAATTGGCGCAAGTATGTCTTAGGCTGTTTCTACTAGCATGATTTGTTGGGAAAAATGTAAGGATTGATTAATACATGAAATATACAAATAAATAACACATGCTCCCAAATAAGAAATGGTTTATTAATCAAAATAACACAATTGAAATGTTGCAATTATAGAACCCTTCTTACCCTCCATCTGAGAAAACCCTGTCATTGGAAGTTCCAGTTTTCTGCAGTAACCCATTATTTTCTTCTGTGAGTTTTTCTGTTGTGTTTTGAGATGACATATTAGGAAATTGGGGTCCCTGGATCTTCCCATCTGCAGTGGCATGTCAACATAAGATCTCATGTTCCATAAGATGTATAATCTAAAAGATTACCCTGTAAACGAGTTGGTAGGAGAACAACAGCGTTATAAGCTTTTAAGATACTATCTTTATCGAACTTGAATCCAACCTATAGATCAATCAGATTCAAAAGGTGCATTTAGAAATAAATAAGGAAAGAGTTCCAATACAGAAGATGCCCCTTGCAAGAAAATTGGTCTTATAATAGTCCTTAAAAAGTGCCACTAGTGTAGCTTCACCATTCTACATTCTTGATGGTACAAAAATGACATTTGTAGCATATTCTCAAAACTACATACTATAGCCACCAGAGCCACCACTGAGAATATCATCAAGTGAAACATTTCCTATTTCATTTCGAATTAGGGATGGACCAGCAGCCTTTAGAGTCTCTTCTGATAAAGTAGTTTTGACAGCTATGCATCTACAGGCAGCAGAACAAGATTAGCAGTTGCCACAACTATAATCCTTAGTTCTAAGTTAAAAGTAATGTTAGAGCACATAAATGATTAGGGTAAATGGTGATACAAGAAGAAATATAATAGATCCAACCCAACGTGTTGATTCATGTAATTTAATATGAACTTTTTGCAAATTTACCTCATTTTTGCAGCTTTGGCAGCCTGCACGCCAGCCAGTGCATCTTCAATAACAATACACTGCCAAGACATAGGCAGACATATAACACCTTAAGAACATGAAAATGGAAAGTGAAGCAATTAACATGGCATATACCGTTAAATGCAGAATAAATATGCAGAATGACCTCATTATTTAGCTTATGGTAAAAGCTAACAAAATCAACCTTTCATGGAACATTTTGTGAGACACCCAATAAAACAAACTTTTATTACTTATACCTTTAGAACTTTATTGTATTTATCTATCCTTTCTTTTCTTTTCTTTTCTTTTTCAAATTTCTCCTATTTTGTTCTTGAAAATTCTTCTTTTTAAGAAAATAGCAGAATCTTCTAGTGTACCTCACTAACGGGCACATCCAAGATCTTTGATGCAGCCAAGAAAATATCAGGAGCAGGTTTCAGTTTCTCAAAAGCATCTGCTGACACAATAGCATCAAACCTGATAAAAGGATAACAAAATAAGAGGAGTAAAAAATTAATGATCCTACAAAAATATGACAAACTTGAGAAGCTGACTAGAAGGGCTTACATTGACAGTGGTAAATTAGCGGCAGCTAGATTTGCAATAACCTTGATACGATCAGCGCTAGACGCAACAGCAACTTTAAGGCCTTTTCCTTTACACTGTTTTACGGCAGAGAATACTAAAAGAATAACTAAATGAAGTAGCAGAATAGTAATATTGTTTCGATTATGAGTAGTTTCCTTGAAACCTGAGTAATGAGTTCAAGGGCACCAGGGAATCCTATTCCAGAATTTGGTTTTGCATACTACAAGAAATTAAATAAGTGTTACGGTTAGGGAAACTTGATGACTAAAGAAATTCACGCTTGTTACAGTATACTGATAAAATTACAAAAGACGACTGACAAAATTCATTAACCTTATCTAAATATATCTCAAAGAACCTCTTCTTTGCAGCCTCAGGATCGAATCCCTTTACCCCCTTAACAGCAGCAACACCTCCTAAGAAGTTCGCTTCACCTAGTACATTGATGCAAAACAGGAACATTAGCAAAAAGAAAAACTTTTTCATAACAAAACTGCAAACTATCAAATCAGAACGTTGGCCCATCACATATGTTGTTAGTAATTAGAAAATGCCAAACTTAAAAGGGAAAATCATCTTAATTTTCAAATACAGATTATTCAACTAGCAACTATAAAAATTCACAACCACCTTTCTTATAGTTTTGTTTGCAATTTTACCATGCCCAAGTCAAATACATGTAACAAAGACTAAAAAATCTACACCAAGGTCGATAATTCATTGCACTAAAAAGAAATTTTTAATCTTTACCAGTTCCCATGAATGGCACAAAGTCTTCCACTGTGACTTCAACCCCCATCTCTGCGAAAACATCGACACCGGCCAATCTAGAAGGCTCTTCGCTGTCACAGAGTACTCCATCCATGTCAAACAACACAGCAGATACCTTCCCCCATTCACTTCCAGAAGATCCTTGCACATTTCTCTCTTCCACTTTCACACAAGCTTTCACAACCATTTTCTTTGAGAAATCGAATCGCTTTGGCCTCCATTGGAAGAGGTAGGTTGAGAGTGAAATGGGTTTTCGTCCTTTTGAGCTAGCACATAAAGAAGAGAGCTTGGTGGGTTGTGAGAGAGAAGATGGTGGCGATAGTAGTTTCATGGCCATGGGAGTTGAGTTGAGTTGAGCCAACTGATTCTGTTTGTGAGTGGCGGGGAAGGGGCTTCGTTATATAATATATTTTCGTACTGTTACGAAACTGCCCTTACCGTTTCTTGCATGTCTGTGCGGGTTTCTTGTCATTTTGATTTTTCTTTTGTGGTGGAGAAATGGGATCATGTTCAATTTATTATCCACTTCTTCAAGCCTCCCCCTCATTATAAATTTTATCTCAAGCCATTTATTTATTTATTTATGGATGAATTTTTATGTCATCAGATACCAATCATAATTTATTTCTCAAAAAAGAAAAACCAACCATCAATTATGAAATTGTGATTACTCCACCACATTTCTGCCACTCATATCAGAGTGCCCATATTCAAAATCTTACATTTCACTCAATCATGATGCAGAGACATTTCTTGTATAATTTTTATCCTTGAATTCAATATATTCAACCCCTCCATTAAACAGCTTAAGAAAGAAAGACAATGTGTATGCTGAGAGAATTTGATCTTTGTTTAGTTCTTGTGTGTTATATTTGCTATGATATGCAAAGATACAGAGCTAACAACATGCAAAGCCTATATTTCTTTGGAATGTCAAACTGCCATTCCTCCCAACAAAATCATGAGCCTTGGTCTTTCTTCATTGCTGGATGGAGTTTTCAAACACCATCTCTTGTGTATGCTCCCCAGCTCCACCTACATTGACACTTTTAAGCTTAACAAATTCAAGACCTCACCAAAAATCCTTGCAGGAACATCTTCCATTTCTGAAATGATGATAGCGCATACGGTCCCTCACAATTATATCACGCTCGTATACTTTCGAAAAGATCTTTATGGCAGAATGGCAATCCTCACAAGTTCTTAAGTTCTTCGTAACACGAATGGTTGTTCCAGGTTTCGTGTTCAGGACACCGAAAGCAATAGCAAGCTTTTCGCTGTGGTATTGCAGTGCAGTTTCCTTCTCCTCCTCTGCAATGTCAAACAAAACTTGGGAGCTATTTGGTGAGTAACCCTCCATCTGCAGCTTCTCTATGATCGTTTCCAGCATCAAATAGACCTCCTTCATTTGTGGGTGTGACCCTTCTCCCACTTTGAACTCATGAACCATGCCACCAATATCAACCATGCTAATTCCAGGACTTGTCTTGACCCCCCTTTCCTTCATCAACGTTCTAACTTTTTCAACATCATCCCACCTGCCTGCCTTTGCATAAATGTTAGACAACAATGCATAACGGCCGCTATTTTGAGGCTCCAATTCAAGCAAAATCCTTCCAACTCTCTCTCCCATTTCAACATTTCCATGTATCCTGCAAGCACCTAACAAGGCCCCCCAAACAGCTGCATTGGGTTTGATTGGCATTGAATTTATAAGCTGCTCAGCCTCTTCCAATTGCCCTGCCCTTCCAAACATATCAACCATACACCCATAGTGCTCCACCTCAGGCTCAATACCATAAAATTTCTTCATAGAACTAAAGAAGTTTAGACCTTTATCGACAAAACCCGAGTGAGTACAAGCATTTAGGACATTCAGAAAAGTAACTCCATTTGGTTCTAACTTACTCCTTTGCATCTTGGAGAAGAGATCGATTGCATCATCTGCTTGACCGTGCATAGCAAGCCCGCCAATCATGGCATTCCATGTGGAAATCTCTTTCTGTTTGATATTTTCGAACACTTCCCACGCCATGTCTAGCCGCCCACATTTGGCGTACATATCAAGCAAAGCAGCCCCTAGCACTGCATCCAATTTAATGGTGTTCCTCTTGATATAAGCATGAACCCACTTTCCTTGATCAACTGCTCCCACATTGGCACAGGCAGCTAGCACACTTGACAAAATAAATTTTCTCGGACTAAGTAAGTTCTCCTTCTGCATCTCATTGAAAATTTCCAAGGCCTCCTTGTGACACCCTCCTTTTATGTAACCATCAACCATGGCACTCCAAGATATCTCATCCTTTTCACTCATGCCATCAAACAACTCCCTTGCCTCTTTCAACATGCCACATTTAGCAAGGCCACTCACCATTGCATTCCAAGAACCAACATTTTTACTTGGCATATGCTTCTCAAACAATTCTTTAGCTGCTTCTACATCTCCACATTTCATGTAACCATCAATCATCGCGTTCGAACAAATCACATCATTCGATTCCGAAGCCTCATCTAGCATTCTCCTTGCCTCCTCTACAAGCCCAAATGATGCATACATCTGAATTCCAGCACTTTTTATGTGCCCATCTTCACCAAACTGATTTTTGACAACATGTGCATGAATTTGCAGAGCTTCCTCTACAGCTTGAACCAATGTGCAGGCCTTGAACAATATAGAATAGGTGAACTTATTAGGCCTAGCATTCATAGCCACCATCTTAGAATAATATGATATACAACTCAAGGCCTCATTGTTCTCTAGGCAACCTTTAATTACAATATTCCACACAAAAACATTGGGCCTCCACACAGAATCAAAGACCTTCAAAGCAAACCCAAAGTTGCTGAAATGTTGACTTGCATAGCATTTAACTATGGCCCCTGCCACATAATGGTCTTGAAAGTGGCCTGACCTCAGGGCAACACCATGGGCTTGCTTGAGATGTTGTAAAGAAGTGGTGCATTTTGTGTTTAGGATGTGTAAGATTGTTTTCTGGGAGAGTTTGGAGGTGGAAGCTGTGCTCTCTGCTGAGACTTCTTTTGGTTTGATGCGATGAGGAAGATTTGTGGTGGTGGTGGATGTGCTCATCTTGGCTCTGCTATGTTATCCAGTCTTGGCTAATAGTCTCTGAGGTACAGACTGCAGAATATAAAAGTCAGACTGCTAATGTCGTTTGCAGCTTTTTTCTTCTTTTCTTTTAAACTGGCGACATGTCGTTTGTAGCTTGTTTTAAAATGGACGACATAAGTTGGTTCTCTAACCGTTGTTCTATCTTTGAGTTAAACACTGAGCACAATGTTTTTTTTAGTACAAACTATGGTCTAAACTATAAAGGATGAGGATTTCTTATACACACACAACTATGATGCTTTGGAAATTCAAACCTGATACCTCTGGTTTGCAAGTCAATGCCATTTTCCATCGTAAACTCAATCTTGAGCTGGAATTGAAGGAGTTGGCAGTGTCTTCAGCTGGAATTGATGGAGTTGGCAGTGAGCAGGGACGGACCCACAGTGGGGTCACTGGGGTCAAACGACCCTATGGAAGCCATGGAAATATGCTTGGAGGTCCACTTGAGCTGGCTGTGTGACCCCTTGGATTGCCCTCCAAGTGTTTGATGTTTTGCCTGAGAGGAAGAGGGAGGAAGCTGTGCGCAAGATACGCGCTTCTGTTTTTTTTTTTAAACCCCTGGGCAAAACGACGTCGTTTTGGCCCAGAAAAATTTTTAAAATTAAAAACCCTTCCGTATCCCTCCATTCTCCAACATTAACCTGTTTGTTGTAAATACATGCATGTGGAGCCCACATTTCCCTGTACAATACCTGAGGAGCACGTTTCCTCCCTTCTATAAAGGTAGGCCTCATCTTCATTGTAATGATTGATCAATCTGAATAAAACTCCCTAACTAGGATTTCTCTCCCTTTCAATTCTCTCAATCTTTCAGTTTCTCAATCTCAATCTATTTAGTTTATAACACTGTTTTTTTTAAAAATCTTTTTAACCTGTTTTATGAATTGAAACACTAAAAAACATACATAAAAAAATGACAAATTGAAATCATTCAAAGTATATTTTTCTAATAAAGGAATAAAATTTGGAAGAGAAAAAATAGATAAGAAAAATAACCCATTTTTAAAATTTCTTTCGAACATTTACACTATGACCCTACGGAGTTCGGATCCTGGGTCCGTCACTGACCAATACTATCTTCAATTTAATTACTTGGGCTCAAAAATTATCTTTTTACCTTCTGTCCTTGTTCTCCTGTATGCTTTTGATTTTTGTTTTTAGGGTTTGTGAGGAAGATTATATGAAATTTGATTGGGCTTTATTCTTTGGAAAAAAGAAATGTGTTGTTTTTATATTATTTTTGTTGGTGTAATTAGAGGGGTATATATTATGCCAAAATTTCGGTTCAGTTTTTAAAGATGATTCTGCCAGTTGCATGATGGATAGCCGATATGTAATAATATAGTTATTTGTTGATGGTATCATAGATGCAAATTCCTACAAAATTTTTAACATCATCACCCTTCCTTCTCCCTGCTTGCAAACAGAGACTATGACTGAAGAACCAGAGACTACAGAACCAACGGAAGAAGAACGTATTGCTCATTTTTGTAAGCTCTCTATGCATTCGTTGTTATTTCGTGTCATGTTGAAAACAGCTCGTATGTTAAAAGATGATTTCTCAAGCCAAGTTATTTTGGTGTTTGCATGATGTAGAATTGATATTTAATAATATAGTTATTTGATGATGAGATCATAGATGTCGTTCCTTCTAACTTCTTTGACATTATGACCCTTTTTTTGTTCTTTTTTTCCTTTTGTATTTAACAATGTAATTGCATGGAAACAGGGAGCAAGACTGAAGAATCGGAGGATGAAGAATCAGAGGATGAAGAATCAATGGATGGGAAATCAAAGGATAAAGAACCAGAGGATGACGAATCAGATGATTGGAAATCAGAGGTTGAAGAATCAGATGATGAAAAATCTAAGGATGGAAAAAGTTATGGTAAGCAATTGATTTTAGGGACAAAAAAAAAGGAAAAAAATTGTGCCTTGCAGCTTCTCTTTTTACATGTATATTCATTTTTTTTTTTTTATCGTATGACATAATATCTATGTATTTGTTGTTATTCAATATAATATGTTCACACTACTGATTTTTGGTTTTATGATCTTCATTCATTCATTGTCTTTAAAATAATGATTATTTTTATTGCTTCCATTGTATTTAACAATGGATCTACAAATTGCACACAGGGGAATGTAAGTATTGTTTGAAGGTGGATAAGCACCCTACACAACTATGCTCTTATAGGTATCGAGTCCCAAAGAACGCAATTGTTGGCGAGAGTTGTGTGGTTGCATGTCGTGTATGTGGCTGCTTCTTTAGAGACTCATGTTGTGCTGATTGTGGTCTGAGCGTAGGACGTGCACTTCTTAAGGAATGTACAATCTGTGGGAAGGAAGAAGAACACTCAAATTTTGAGTGCCCGGAACGCGAGGAGAAACGTAAGAATTCTGGCTTTACTTACGACCCTTATACTGGTTCTTTTTCTGTCGAGATTCGCCCTTTGAAATAGGAGAGAATGAAGAGTTAATTGTACTCTAGAGTTAAAGCAAAAGAGCAAGGAGTGCTATTTTCCATAAATGCTATGCATCCTATCATTTTGATGTCTACATCGTGTATTGTTTTTATCACAAAGGAATTGCAATTTGCAGCACCTGGTCTATTATATTGTTATGCTTGGAGATGTGAGAATCCATCTATTTATAAAATGTCTAAAGTAAAAGGTGGTTTTTATCTCAACATTTTGTTCTTCTCTTATGGGGTTAACATACTGAATTTTAATTTAAAAACTTAGCTAAACAACTGGGCATGAATGACCATTGTTATGTGCAAAAGTTTAAATAACGAAGGTAGAATGCAAAAGTTTAAGAAAAGTTTCAAGTTGTATGTTGGGAGGAAGTTGAGTGGATCTGCCCTTTCTCTTGGTGGTGCTGTTTTCTTATCGAAGGCTAAGGCAAGTGGCCATTGCTGGGTTCGAGTTTTGGCACTGAGCTTGTATGTTATGTTTTATGTTTGGTGTTGCCTTGTAGAGAGCTGGATTTATAGTTAAGTTTGTCCTGGCCATGTGCTTATTGATGTGTATACAGAGAGAAGAAATTGGGCACAAAAAATTTCGGCATCCGATTTAGGAGAAGCCCCTCTCAGTGGCTTAAGATCAATACCAGTTTCTCCTGCCAAGTCATAGAGTTGTTTGTTTTAGAGACTTGGTTTCTTCAGTATCATAAATGACCCAATTCTACTTTTGCCTTGAATACCATATCTGTCAATCCACGAGTAACAGAAAGGCAACTGGAAGAGGGCACAAGCATATGAATGATCATAAAGTTCGGCCACTATATAATAATTCGATATATATTATTTTTATTCGGTAATATGTAAAATTGTGTGTATAATACGTGAATTTTGTGTGTATTGTTTACAATTTTGTAAAAACACGTGTATTAAACACACAAAAAATCCGCACGTACGTACGTTTTCCTTGTGTACGGAAAATGGAAGTATTGTTCAAAAATACGTATGTATGTGTATAACACGATTATTAAACGGCAATATGTTATACTATTTATTATTAAAAATAAAAATGAAAACAAAATAGGGCCCCCAGTGAAATTAATTAAACTAATCTGAATTAATTAAAAAAAGAAAAAAAATTTATTAATTCGAAACTAGATAATTAATTTAAATCTTCAATGCTCAAGTGCCCCATGGCCCAAGGCCATCTTTTTGATAGTTAAATATTATATATTCAATGCCCAAGTTGAATTTGAAGCCCAATTGGCTTCCACTTGGCCCAACTTCCAATTGCCTTGTCTGGCCAAGGGAGCTTCTACAATGAGGAGTTAAAGTGAGGAGACCGATCCGACCGTCAAAACATTTAAAATATTTAAGTCTCATGATTTCTTTACATTTGTTGATGGTGAGATTTGACCTCCTCAAATAACCTCCTCACTTTAAGCCCTCATTATAGCCTTTCCGGTCTGGCCAAACTTCCAAGTACCCCATGTATTTTAATAGTATAGACGCCCCATGTATTTTAATAGAATAGCCGTGCGGCTATACTATTCTTCAGAGAAATTTTCAAAAACCCAGTATCGCCGTGCGGCTATACTATTTATTAAAAGAAACTTAGCAAGAGTACTGTTTCAGAAAAACAAAAAGGACAAAAAATACAGTATAGCCGGCCGGCTATAAGCTTGAAATATATTGCGGCTAAACTATTCTTCAAAGATATTTTCAAAAAACCCAGTATCGCCGCGTGGCTATACTATTTATTAAAAGAAAATTAGCGGGGGTACTGTTTCGGAAAAACAAAAAGGTCAAAAAAAATATATACTCTTGAAATATATTATATTCAATGGTATAGCCGTTCGGCTATACTATTTGTTAAAGAAAATTTTAAAAAAACCGCTGCAAGAGTGGGTATGAATCGATTTCTTATTTTTCCTTAGGCTAACTTACCTTACTACCAAGCATATGAAAGATCATAAAGTTCGGCCACTATATAATAATTTGATATATATTATTTTTATTCAGTAATATGTAAAATTGTGTGTATAATACGTGAATTTTGTGTGTATTGTTCACAATTTTGTAAAAACACGTGTATTAAACACACACAAAATCCGCACGTACGTGTATTGTACGTTTTTCTTGTGTACGGAAAATGGAAGTATTGTTGAAAAATACGTATGTACGTGTATAACACGATTATTAAACGGCAATATGTTATACTATTTATTATTCAAAATAAAAATGAAAACAAAATAGGCCCCCCGGTGAAATTAATTAAACTAATCTGAATTAATTAAAAAAAGAAAAAAAATTATTAATTCAAAACTAGATAATTAATTTAAATCTTAAATGCCCAAGTGTCTTAATAGTATAGACGCCCCATGTATTTTAATAGGAACGGCTATACTATTCTTCAAAGAAATTTTCAAAAACCCAGTATAGCCGTGCGGCTATACTATTTATTAAAAGAAACTTAGCAAGCGTACTGTTTCGGAAGGACAAAAAATACAGTATAGCCGGCCGGCTATACGCTTGAAATATATAATATTCAATAGTATAGCAGGGCGGCTATACTATTTATTAAAAGAAATTTAGGAAGGGTACTGTTTCGAAAAAAAAGAGGTCAAAAAAATACAGTATAGCCGGCCGGCTACACTCTTGAAATATATTATATTCAATCGTATAGCCGTTCGGCTATCCTATTTGTTACAGAAAATTTTGAAAAAACCCCTGCAAGAGTGGGTATGAATCGATTTCTTCCTTTTCCTTAGGCTAACTTACCTTACTACCAAGCATATGAATGATCATAAAGTTCGGCCACTATATAATAATTCGATATATATTATTTGATGATGAGATCATAGATGTCGTTCCTTCTAACTTCTTTGACATTATCACCCTTTTTTTGTTCTTTTTTTCCTTTTGTATTTACCAATGTAATTGCATGGAAACAGGGAGCAAGATTGAAGAATCAGAGGATGAAGAATCAATGGATTGGAAATCAGAGGATGAAGAATCAGAGGATTGGAAATCAAGGGTTGAAGAACTAGAGGATGAAAAATCTAAGGATGGAAAAAGTTATGGTAAGCAATTGATATTAGGGACAATAAAAAAAGGAAAAAACAATGTACCTTGCAGCTTCTCTTTTTACATGTATATTCATTTTTTTTATCGTATGACATAATATCTATGTATTTGTTGTTATTCAATATAATGTGTTCACACTACTGATTTTTGGTTTTATGATCTTCATTCATTCATTGTCTTTAAAAAAAATGTTATTTTTATTGCTTCCATTGTATTTAACAATGGATCTACAAATTGCACACAGGGGAATGTAAGTATTGTTTGAAGGTGGATAAGCACCCTACACAACTATGCTCTTATAGTTATCGAGTCCCAAAGAACGCAATTGTTGGCGAGAGTTGTGTGGTTGCATGTCTTGTATGTGGCTGCCTCTTTAGAGATGACAGGACCCGTCCTGAAATTCCTTGGAATCTAGGACGGACCCCGCCTAATTACCGACATCATCCCGGTGCCGGGCCCACTTACTAACGACTGAGACTTTCTACCAAAAATTTTGCAAAGTATCCCCTGTAAATTGAACATTTCCCAATTTCAACCTGTTCAAAATTTACAGTTAAATACAACCAACTGGCAGCATGCTTTACAAGCAGTAAAATAATTTACAAACAAGGCCTCCAGGCCTCACAAAATTTAAACCCTCAGTGGGTGATACAGAGCATATCTACGAATTCAAAATACAACCGAGAAGTATCGTTTAACTGAAAGGAAAAGGTACCAAGAGTCTCTACGAAGACTCGAATTCCAAGATGCACCCGGTCCGGCTCAACTGCAAAGCTCAGTCGCTACTGGCTGGGGGCGCAAAACAGAAAGTTGTGAGTCGACAAAAATCAAGTTCAGTTCAAGTGAAAACAAAATAGTATAACCCCCACTTTTATTAAAACACGCAAGGAAACCATAAGCATAACAAAACAACATAAATAGTATATGCATACATACTAACACATTTATACCGGATCTCAAATCCGTAATCCGTGAATAATACATACTAACTCTCAGCCAGCACGTACAGCCGACACAGTCAAAGCTTGTACGCCTGAAAAACCAGTCCTACGCGCGCAGACTACCCCAAATCCAGGATCCACAGCAACATCTCTCATAACTCCAAAAGTATCCAATGTTCGTAACCAAATTCAGATCAGGGGAGGTACATGAATTAGTGCTTAACGCACTCCAAATAATAGATCCAACATTACCTTTCCATAGTTCATATTAACCACCAAGTACCCCATGCATAGCCGCATGTAAATATAGCTTCTCAAAATTCAAATATCAATGTAAGTTTTAAGAAAACCTCGAATTCCCATTCGAGCGTATAAAAATAATTAATAGACATAATAAAACAAGATGCCATATTCCCATGAATAAAATCATACTGAGTTTCAAAAGAAAAGTCCACTCACAAGTAGTCCCACACAACTTGACCCTTAGAAGGTCCCGCCTGCTGCGTATGCTGGGTCGGAGTACCTGATTCAGAATACGAAAATACGATGAACGTCAAGCGCTTCAAAACAGAACTTTAAAATAAAACCCTAGCTTCCCGGGAGTTCCTATAGGTTTTACGAGGTCTAGGATACACGTCCTGTACGTTTAGTCTGAAACGGACGGTTAGATCGCTCACGATTGCACAATTGGATCATTACTGAAATTTTTTCCCTAGGGTTGGCATTTCCGGAGTATCCGGGACTCCGTTTTACGATCCGTCGAATCCTATACGATCCTAAGGGTATCCAAAGGAACATACTTCAGTTTGAAAACGATCCAACGGTCGGAACATATCGAACCCGAATAACGCACAATATGCGATAATTCGTTCGATTGTTAAACGACCTCGGAATCGAGATCCGCGAAATCCTACGCGCTCGTGACAACCTAAGGATCACACTGGAATAATTTACAGCTCCACCACACTTGCCCACGCGCCGCCACACGCGCTGGCAGCAAGCGGGTGTCCAAAGCGATTAAGCTTGGCCCCTCTTTTGTCCTGGGGCATCCCCCAAAAATTGGCCGGAGGTGGCCGGAATCGCGATCGCAAAACCGGCCGAATCCTAATTCGAAAATCAAGCTACCCACACTCAAAATTGATGCAATCCTACCCAACCATCAGCTAGAGCATGGAAAATAGGTAGAAAAGCATACCTTACTCGTCAAATTTGGAGAAGAAATTAGGGAGAACGAGCGGTTGAAAAATTTGTGAAAACCGGCTCGTTTTCTGCAAAATTCCGGCTGCCGGCGTGGCTAAAGACGGCGGAAACTTGCCGGGGTTTGACTGTGGGGCACGGCCGGTCAGTTTGGTACCGGTGTCATGGTCTGTGGTGGCCGGAATCGGTGGTTGCACTGATCGGGGGAGAGGGCTGCGCTCGCGGGAGAAAAAATCCTTTTTTGAAATAATTACGATTGTGCCACTGAGTTTCATTTGATCTTCACTCTCTTGTTAC